TTATAACTTGATTATTAATATATAAAATAATATATTAATATATACAATAATTATAATATATACAAATATTACTTACACTTACCATAATATTTAGGAATTAACTATGATTTATAATTCATAGTTAATATCGATAATGATGTATCAGATGTACAAAAACATCAACTGCTAATGCAGGAAGAAGAATCCAAAATGGTGCCAAAACAACTTTTGCTGGTAAAAACCAATGAGGTGCTTCTAATTTCAAACATATTAAAATTTGAGCACTTAATTTCATAAATACAGCTGTCATATACCATACCTGAAAAAAAATTACTTTCAGTTTTCATAAAAAATAAATATTTAATTTCATCAAAATGATTAGTTCTATTATATAAACTTATAAATTTGACACTTTGTACATTAAACATTATATAAAAAATAATTAAAATTAAAAAATAATAATATTATAATCTTATCTTCTCATAAATAATTAAAAAATAATTAAAAAATATAATTTAAATTTTTATTTTAATATATAAATTTGAATTTAATAATGTCATTTTTTTTTAAATTGCATAGTAAAATAATAAGCAATATCTTTTTTTTACTTATATAAGAAAATAAAACATTATATATTAATATTTTTTTCATTTTTAATTATTGTTTAACTTACTTCTCGACGTAAATTAACAACTCGTCCATTTTTACAATGAGAAATCATATTGAAAACAATATAAACCAAAAGTATGTGATCGTATAACCACATTGGAATGAAAACTATGAACCAATTCCATTGTATTCTTTGATCAAGTCTCAAAACAAGTAAAATCAGAAATATTAAAAGATTGAACCACGTAAATAATGCACGATGCAAAACTGCCATTGAAATATAAAATCAAGTATCAAGTATTAATCAAAAGTAAAAATCAAAGCAAAATATAATTATAAAACTATACAATCATGTTGCAAATTAACCGCATGTTGTTTGTCAACACTTAATATACCTAACCTTTATTGTCAATTAACCTACAAGTTGTAACAATTTTAAAGATGTCACTACTTACATAGATGCATATATAATAATATTATGCAATTATATATATATATATATATATGTATATATATATACAATATATGATTATAATCCTACATTAATATT